GAGAAAGTAGTAAAAGCATTACTATTTTGGTTAAATTAATATTGTTTGATAGTAATATTTTTATAAAATATAATATAATTATAATATTATAAATAATTTTTAATAAAAAATTAATTATATAACAATATAATATAATATATTATAAATTTATAATCTTATATAATATATATATTTTTATTTTGGTTGCACAATTAGAGATAATCATTTCTCACTCCACTCGATGTCATGTGATTCGACTTTAAAACTTTTTACTTTCAGTAAAAGAAATTATCATTAAATTATTTAGATTATTGGTAATATTATTACTACATCATTTTCGTAATTTCTCAATGACTTTGTTTTCAATGATAGTTAGCGTCAACAACTGATTTTATTTTTTTGGTAAGGAAAGGAAGCAGCTAGCTTTTTATTTCTTTTTAGATTCACAAATGGTAGACCAGACCTTATTACAAAACAAAGCTTTATTTGCCATTGGCATAAACTTAGGTCTTAAGGCACCCATGGTTTGTTTGAGTATAATAACCAAAAGAATGCAAATGTGCTCTACCAAAAACAATAATTGAAGGCTTATTTGGTGAAATATGTAAGTATTTCAGTTTTTTGACATTATTTATATTTTATAAGTTTAAATTTTTTTCTAAAAAATTTATATTTTTTAATATTTTTTAACCTTAAAAAACTTTAAATAATTTTTTTACTTACTTTTTATTATTTTTAAAAATAATTTTAAAATTTTTTTTCAATAAATACTTAAACTTATAATTCATAAAATCTTTATAGGTCCAATAAATATCTAAAAGCAACTGGATATTTATTTTTCCACCAAACAGGCCTTTACTATGCTTGTCTGTCTGTCTTTGTAGGTCCTAACTCCATCTCCCAAAATATCTAGCATTGCAAAACCGATGGCATGTCATTGTCCCATATTAAAGCAAAAGTTTTTGTTTCATTCACCAAATCTACCAAGTCATCATCTGTATTCGAATCAATAAAAAAAAAAAAAAAAATTGACAATTCATTCTTTTTTCTTTTTTTTATACCGTATAACATGGGATTGTACCATTGATGGAGGAGGAATAGTTGTCAAAGGCAGCATATGTATCCATCCAATGGATTTCATTGGAGAACTCAGAGGGGATTGCATGCTCAAACATTCCTAAATAAATTGCCATGAACAATTACCACTACTTTTTAATCTTAAAATAAACATAAAAATCAAGATCTATTCATATCTGAATAATTATTTAAATGTTGTTAATAAATTTTTTATTTATATTAATTTATTAAAAATATTATAATTTTATTATTACAAGATTATTTTCAAGATTTTAACTATTAAAATATTTTGATTTTTCTCAATTTCAAATCTTAATATAAAGAATAATAATAAATTAAATAAAAATTTAAGACTAAAATCTAAAATTAATGATATAGTACAAGTCTCATAATTTAAAATATTAAAAAATAAATTTAAATTATTTAATAATTAACTTTTTTATTTTTTTTTTAAATCTATAATATTTTATATAACATTAATTTAATAATATGACATATATAATATCATTAATTATAAAATTTTGTCTCAAAATTTTGTTGTATTTTTTTTCTTTTGTGTGAATCACTTAGTATCCGAAAGTTCATTGGGCTAGTAACTAATCTGGATTCAAGTTGAATAAGACCCAATAGATGATAAAACTCTTCCTCACGAGTTTTAATGAAACTATATTCTTAAAAGTTGAAATCAAAATTTTTGATTAAACTGCATCAACTCATCTACCCACTAATAAATTTTACTGTATTTATTATTACTCTAATACAAATGGTGCCAGTAGTATTAGTAGAGTATTTTCTTTTCCCTAAAAAGAAAAAGAAAAAGACAAGATACAGATACAGTACATAATTATTTAGCTCTTGAAGAAACAGTCGTTAGCAATAGCATTAGCAAAGAATGAATTAAAGAATAAATAAAGACAAAAGCTAAAGATTTCATTTCAAGCCACAAAAGCGTGAACCGTACTCCCTCGCACGCATCTTCCTGTCCCCGTTGGCATTTGGGCATTCGTGCAATTGGTTGTATTGGATTTCCCATGTTGCATTTGCATTGCGTTTGTGTGTAACGGAGTAGCAGTGTTTGACTGCCTGTTCTGGGTCTTTGTCTGGGTCTGGCATTTCCTGATGATGATATATCATTACCAATCAAGTCTGTCTCTTAAAACTTGATCAAAGACCAAATTTTGCGTTGCTTTTTTCTTAATCACTAGCAGTAGGAGGAGGAGGTGGGGTTTTGGGTTCAGATATAATTTAGTTTTGATTTCTGGGTTTTGGGTTTGAGGATATTTGAAATGGGTTTCTGCCCCTGTTTTGGTTCGAGCGAAAGGAAGAAGAAGAAGCTGAGGAGCGAAACCAAGAAATGCAGGCCTGAAATGTCTCACCGTCCCCGTCTCCGTGAGTTAATTGAGTTTATATTATATTGTTTGGTTTTAACAAGTTTTTGTTAATTCTCTTCAAATTCAAATTAAACTATGTAGATAGATGGAACGGGAGTCATGATTTCCATCCATCTGTTTCTCTTATGAATTCCGTTTTTCACTTACCTGAATTTCAACGTCCTTCTCTTGGAATCGATTTTACAACATAATTTTTTATGCATATATAGTATAAATTTTCTGTTCTGCCTCCTTGTAAGCTCTTTCTAACTATGCTATACCGGAATCAAAATAGGAGATAATGTGATTTACTCCAATTCCAAGAAAGATACAGTAGCATCCACTCCACAAAAAGTACTTAGTCCTGGTCAAGGTACCATCTTTTCCTATAGGGAACTTGCAACTGCAACCAATAATTTTGGGAACGATTCCTTGATTGGGCAGGGTGGATTTGGGGCAGTTTACAAAGGCCAATTAGAAACCACTGGTCAGGTAAATTATTCGTAAAATATAAGTTTAGATTTGTTTCTATGCACGTATGTATTATTATGTTAGTGTTTCCCACTTTGCTGCAGCGCAGGTTGTAGCTGTTAAACAGCTAGATAAGACTGGTCACCAAGGAGAGAAAGAGTTTCTGGTGGAGGTTCTTATGCTTTCTCTTTTGCGTCACCCTAACCTTGTTAGTTTGATTGGTTATTGTGCTGAAGGAGATCAGCGTCTTCTTGTCTATGAGTACATGCCTCTGGGTTCCGTTGAATATCTCCTCCATGGTAACACACACACACACACATATATATATATATTCGTTAGTGCCATTATTTATTAACTTCCCTTGCTTAACTACTGTACGTATATAACTGGATATATTCATAGACGTATTATGTTCAAAACCATATCTTTATTTGTTGCCGTCTGGAGACATCCACAATGTAAATATTGAAACCAATAGAAATATTTTCCAAATTTCTTCTCACATCACTTGTACTACACAGATTGTACATTTTCTTGCATTAAATCCCATTTCAAATTATAAGGCTGAACCGATGGATGTTGTTTGTTTCATATTGAAATCCGATTATATATATATATATATGTATATATTTGTTTCATTACATTCTTAAACATTGCTTTTTCTTGTACCACTGTATGACAGCTTCAATGACCTTTTCTGTTATCCTTTTAACTATGGCACTTCAAGTTTGCTGTAGGCTCAGTGTAATGTGTGAAAATTGGATCAGTTCTATAAAAATGTTGCTGAAATTATGTTCTTGTTGTAGTAACATATATTTGTTAACAATTATTTTTCAGATCTTACTCGTGATCAAAAACCTTTGGACTGGAACACTAGAATGAAGATAGCTGCTGGTGCAGCTAAAGGACTGGAATTTCTGCATAATGGGGCAGATCCTCCTGTTATATACAGAGATCTAAAATCAGCCAACATATTATTGGGTGAGGGCTTCCACCCAAAACTCTCTGATTTTGGACTTGCAAAATTTGGTCCAAGTGGAGATAAATCACATGTTTCGACCAGAGTCATGGGAACTTATGGTTACTGTGCTCCAGAGTATATGCTTAGTGGAAAATTAACAATGAAGTCTGACATCTATAGTTTTGGGGTTTTTCTGTTGGAGCTGTTTACGGGGTGTAAAGCACTTGATGACACCCGTGACCGTGACCAACGCTTCATTGTTGATTGGGTAATTTACTTAAACATGCTTCTACATTCCTGGTTCACTCAAGCTGTTTATTTATTATTCTATTGCTCCTGAAGGAAGTTTTATTTATGCTTGAGATGTTTACAAAACTATAGTTGTAAAGCCACAACACCACAAATATGCCAGAAAAGCAAACCACTTTCTAATTGGTCTTTCTTACTTGACAATAGTTTCTCTTTCTTCTAAATCATTTTTGTGATTGAATCAAAACAGTTGTATAATGCAATTTAATTTGTAGGAACAAACTATAAACTTGATGGTGAAATGTGATAAAATTATATGCAGGTTTTTATGGTACTTAGGAGATCCCATTTTTTCTGGATTTTGAATGGGGATGAATTTAGGCTTGTTTATGTGCATTGCATGATCCAATTGAATTAGTGTGCTTTCTTAAAGATGCAGTTTTATTTATTGACCTTTCTGGGTTTATTTACCCGAAATATTTTTATTTTTTTATTTTGGATTGTAGGTACGCCCTTTGTGGAAAGATGGCAAGAACGTTCTGTCCCTTGCTGATCCACTGCTTGATGGCCAGTTTTCCAAATCCACTTTTAAGAGAGCTATAGAAGTTGCAAAGTTGTGCATCCTAGAAAATGCTAATGCCCGCCCTTCCATCAGGGAACTGGCAAATGCTTTAGAATTCTTGGCATCCCAACCATATAACCCAAATGTAGACAGAAGTGTCGGTGACAAGGAGCCTGTGAATGATGACTTGCCAAAGGTGAATGTGGACAGACAACGGGCTGTTGCTGAGGCCAAAATGTGGGGAGAAACTTGGAGGGAGAAAAGACGACAACAAGGTGCACAGAATGATGCTGATGGATTAAACAGGTAATGCATGGATGACTCCTCCATTCATCTTAAAGGTGGGTGAATAAAGTTCAAGGGTAGGCAATAGTTTTGAAGATACTCAGTTAAATTGATCTGGTGTGGTGAAGAAAAGAAAAGAAAACTGGGTTCTTATTTAGATCGTTGCAATGTACAGACATTGCCAATTCAAATGGAATTGGTGTTTTTAGATAAATCTTGACTATTGAGTGTTATACTTGTTGTTAGAATGAAACAGTTAAGTCTGTTTATATGTGGTAAAGTTTCCAGTTGTGTAGCTGTTGGGAAATAGGGGGTGATAAATACAAGGTTGGGTGGTTGTATGTTCTGTTGGTGGCTGAATTGTTGGTATCAGCAACGCAACTATGGTAGGCAGAAAATAGATTTATCATTATTTTACTGTTTCTGCTCTTAAATGAAATAAGTATGTCAAAAATTGACTATACCAGGTTGTTGTGCTTGTACCGTCAACAAAACAGATGTTATTAATCATATGAATGGATTAATTTTGGAGTCATTTCTCCTACCAATGTATGGTTTAGACCTCCAGGGTCATAGTGGTTATTAACGCCTTGTAAAGGTCTTTTCATGTTTTTTTTTTTTTTTTTTTTGACAAGATAACAGTTAGGAAGTTAGTGAGTTAATTGTTAATAACTGATTCTCTGATCGGGATGAACATTTCACTTTGAGGCGCGGTCATCAAGTCACATTTTTTGTGGAGTTCATAATGATGGTGGAGCTCGAAACTCCGACCACCATTTCACTCAAGCACTAAAGCTTGGGGGCGAGAGCTACAAGAGCTGATTGAAGGTATTTTCATGTTAAACTGAAGGAGTAAGATTCAAGTTTCCCTTTCAACATTAAAAGAAAAAAAGACTATTAATCCCTTGTAAAAATCTTTTCATGTCCAATACGGGTTCAGGTCTCACCTTTAATATTAAAAATAAAAAATAAAAAAGTATGATTTAGGCGTCCGATAAATACATTTTAAAATTCAGTAAGCCGGTATTGTTGAATGGCTTTTACCAACAAAAAAAGGGCGGCATCATTATGGCCCCACCAAGAATTGCTGGGGGCCACACAAAAACAAGGTAATTGTATTTAGTTTGACTTTTAATAACAGTTAATAGCTGAAATTATTAGTTGATAATAAATAAAATAATAATTTAAAAATAAATTATAAATTAATATTTTTAAGTTTTTTTTTAAAAAAAAAATTATAAATTGAGGATGAAGGGGTTCAAATCCAACTCAAAGGAGTAAATGCCTATTTATTATGGTGGCTAATGATTTGGAAGGTGAGGTGTATATTTTTAAGTATTTTAATTGTTATAAACAAATAAAATTAAATAAATTAAATGCACATACAGCATTATGTGTGGCTATAACATGGCCCAACAAAGAGAAGTGAATTGGTTTAAGAAAATTTTCCATTGATTGCTATGAGCATAGGTTCAGTAATTTATGTGGTTAATCAATATAAAATAAATGCTATCCACACCCTCATTAATTCCGTTGTCGTCCAGCGGTTAGGATATCTGGCTTTCACCCAGGAGACCCGGGTTCGATTCCCGGCAACGGAATCTATACCATTTAAAAATTTTTTAATTTCAGCTTATCATTGTAAAATAATTTCACAAATTATGAATTTAGATGTGTATAATCTATCCCATTTGAAATCAGTATCCATATGTCTTACTTCTTAAAAATAAGGTTAACGAAGAAATTGAGTAATTTTTTTTCTTAATTTTTAAAATATAAAATAAATAGACATATTATGATAATTAACGAGTCTAAGTCCTATATATTTGTACTTGACTTTATCATAAATTTTCAAATTTGAGTATTTAACAAGTTCAAAATAGTTGTGTTCATACTTAAGTTTACTAGTATTTAAATGAGTTTAAGCATGAACCCGAGTACTTGAATGAGTGAGTATTTGAATTTGATTTTGAGTTTTTTTTTTTCTTATAATTTTAAATTGTTTCAATAATTAATCATTAAATTATAAAAAATTTTACAATTTTCAAAAATATTGTATTACTAAAAGCTTAAACAAGAGCAT